TTTGTATCAAATATCTATTGAGAACTTGGCCACCTCGGAACTTGATGTCTTCGGCAAAGTTGTTATTCGACCGAAACCTTTGAGATGAGAGACAGATTAGTAGTCTGTTGCATTCGACTGCCTGTGTCACCAGCGAATAAAGATTTGTGGCAACCCTGAGGCAAATCAAGGAGGTCCGAAGTGAAAATGTTTTTTACAATATAGGCCCAATAATGCTACCCTGAGGAACTCCTGCACTAACAGGTAGTCGTTCAGATTTTTAATTTTGATAATTTACCTGCAGAGTTCTGTCAGTTTAATAATTTTGAACTAATTTCATAATATAGAGTGGAAAATTAAACTTTTTAAATTTAGCAATCGAACCTTCATGCCAAACACTGTCGAATGCTTTTTCTATGTCTAGAAGGGCAACTCCAGTTGAGAAGCCTTCAGATTTGTTCCAACGAATTAAATTGGTAACTCTTAAGACTTGATGAATAGTTGAATGCCCATGGCGAAATCCAAACTGCTCATCTGCAAAAGTTGAGTTCGTATTGATGTGAAGCATCATTCTATTCAAAATTATCTTTTCAAAAAGTTTACTTATTGAAGAAAGCAAACTTATTGGACGGTAGCTAGAAGCTTCAGCTGGATTTTTATCCGGCTTCAAAATTGGAACAACTTTTGCATTTGTCCATTTATCAGGAAAGTACGCCAAATGGAAACATCTATTAAAAAAAAATACCAAGAAAGACAAGGTACTCTCTGGGAGTTTTTTGATGAGGATATAGAAAATTCCATCATCACCAGGAGCTTTCATATTATGAAACTTTGTCCAAATCAGTCCCCCAGGAATCATCAAACATATTTTCCCGAGAGAAATAATTCAGATAATCCCGAGCAACCTGATTCTCAATAGGACTAGAAAGACCCAAACTGAAATTATGGAAACTCTCGAATTGCTTAGCAAGTTTCTGAGTTTTTTTTTCCGAATTTGTGATCAAAATTTTACCACCTTCTTTAATCGCTGGACAAGGTTTTTGAGGTTTTTTTTCGAAACTTTTGTGATTTTCTAAAAGGGTTTGGAACTCGGGTCTAATTTCAAAACATTAGTTTCAAAAGTTTTGTTCCTCAGGGCAGAGAATAGCTTTTAAATTTGTTTTTGCAAATCCCGCCAGATAACTTTCATGGCAGGATCACGTGTTCTTTGATATTGCCTCCTACGGACATTTTTCAGACGGATCAAGAGGTGAAGATCGTCGTCTATTATAATGCTTCATATATCGTGATTTCTGCTCCAACAAGACGCCACCAGAAGAAGCGATGAAGTAGACATTTCAAAAACTAAAGGCTGATCATAAAAAGAATTTCAAAAACGCATATTTTTTTATGAATAGCGATGTATAAATAAAGTTAAGTCAAAGCTGGCATTGAAAATATCCTATTCTCAATTTTCATTATTTTTGAGAGAATATGTGCACTTTTTGGAGAGAAGGATACTTTCCCATAGAACAAGCAGATTTTGTTTTGGTACCTTGGTTTTTGCAAGTACAGGTCGGACTTGATTATCCGGAGTTTTGAAAAAAAAAATCACTCCGGATCATCAAATCGAATCATTTGTTTTTTGTTGCCAAGGACAGTTTAACCCGTTAATTCCCAAGTCGTTTTTGTCATTCAGACAATGCGTGATTTTTCCAGGAGTACCCCAAGGAATTGAAATCAAGATTTTAAGAATATTCCAAGGATCATTCTAGTGATATTGAAAACATAATTTACTTTTCCAATTTCCGTTAAAACATGTTAAAAGAAAAAAAATGCTGATCTATAAATAGATCCTTGGCTTGTTCAAGACTTCAGGCATCATTCTGAAGATTTCCAACTGCCCAACAATTCAAATCACATTCCAATATATTCTCAAAGATTCCAGGTTGTTCATAATTTATTTAAAATAACAACAAGTGATAAGAGATCACCTTGAAAACCTAAGAATGTTTTTTCAAGAGTTCAGATTGATCAGATATCATCCTGAAGATATCCAAGTATTTCATAAAGCATATCGCATCTCACAGATTTTCTCTCATTTTAAGCACGACAGCACGACTTAATGTGTTTTAAGATATCCATAAAGTCGTCTTGATATTGTTCAAAACTTCAGGTTGATCAGGTTATATTGTACAGAAGATCTCAAACTATTCATCAATTCAAATCACATCTCTAGGATATTCTCACATGATGCAAGATGGCTCTGAAAATATTCCAAAGCCAGTTGATAAGAGATTATATATTTTATAAACTCACGATTACAACTCATCATGAGCATTGTTCATGCTCCAATAAAAAAAAACAAATAATGGTTTAACGATCCCATAAATTTCATTTCCAGTGAACCGGGTAATCTGGAAAACCGAGAAGAAACCGCAAATTTTAAATCACCGGGAAAAGCCCGTCAAATTCAATGACAAAGCGTGAAAAAATAAGATTATTTACCTTTAAACAATTTAAAGGTTTTCAGGATACAGTCACTTTGATGAATATTGAAGAGATTTAATATGGAATTCTTCAAGCCATTTGTGTGACTTCAGACGTTCAGAGTACAATCTTTGAATAGTTCTTTTGGAAAATTCATGAATATTCAAATTAAGTTCTTAGAAGAATTTTAAAAGAGTTGTGGACAATTCTAATAAAATTCCTAGAAAATGTAAATGCCTCTAATAATATAATAAAGAGAATTACAGGAATCTCACGATAAATACCAAGGGGGTCGAGTTTTGAGGGAAAAATTCCAAAGGAATACTGAGATGAGTTTCAATAGAATTCTAACGAGAATTCCAAGCGATTTTTTAAAATAATTCAGAAGAAAGGGAGCTCCAAGCTAATTATGAGCAGAATTTTATGACATTCCTGAGGAGAATTGCGTGGAAATTGGATGGAGAATTCAGGTTGATTTTAAATACAATTATTTAAGGAATCTTTAGTGAATTCTTTCGAAGTAAACCTTAGGATGAACTACATGAGTTTTTTTTTGAGTATTCTGAAATATTGCATAGACTTTTTTAAAGGGATCTCGGAGAGAATCTCAAATTAATTTTAGATAAACTCTGAACATAACTTTGCTATGGGAAATGATTCTAAATGAAGTTTGAGAACATTTTTTAAAAATCCTGTAAAGAGTTTTGAGCGAACTTTTTCAAGATAGTTAAAACTTTGAAAAATCATGATGACTTATTGATGAGAAACAAACGATTTTTTCCAAAAATTTTGGCAATTTCCCGGTTCTGTGATATATTGTGATAAGCCGAAGAAATCAAGCGGTTAAATGGGTTATAATTTAGAAAGCAGTAATTATCCTGGGGAAATCACCAAAATTCCGGGAAAAAAAGAAACCCAGGAAACTGCAAGTTGGGATTTGCTGGTCACCATAATTATGGCTGATGCCAATTTTATTTTTATTTTATGTATCCCATAAATTTTCTAATTTAGTCCTTTTTATAACCGTCTTTCGCTCTACGCTTATCCTAAAACTAAAATATTAATAATTTATTAATTTATCATTAAATAGGTTGTTTATACGTGATTTTTTTTTCTATTCATCCCTTGTTAATTAATATGTGCCCCTCCTCGACCTATTTGAGTGATGTCGGACATAAGATGAAACTATTATTTGCAGCAGGTAATCAAATGAGCATTTTATCAATTTAATAAGGAAGTGCAATGTCCATTTCCTCACTCTACTTTTTTTCTGACTAGATTTATAACAACAAACAATTGACTAAGATGATTTTAGATTCAGATCGCAAATTGGTCATTAGAACGAAAAATTGAGGCACTGAGAAAAATGTTCAAAATCTGGGATTTAGGCAAGTGTTGACAATTTTTAGACAATACATTTGAAAGACCTACGATACAGAAACTTTCAAACACCTCAAAATTTTCATAACTCTGGGGCCTACACAATATTACTAGATAGCAGTCCAAGAAAAAATCTCATTATTCTGGTACGAGGAAAATTGTTAAAGATGGAAAGATCGTGGACATACACGACAAATTAATCTGACTCATATTTGAGTCACGCACACTTAAATTCGCAGAAACGGAGGTCATAGGAATGAGTAAATTTTAACTAAAATATGCGTAAATGTCACTCAAATATGAGTGAACGGAACACACATATGAGTCCGATTTATCTGCTGTGTAGAAAAAATTACATGAGTCTAGGACTGAAAATTAGGAGCTCGAAAAAAAAATTAATTTCCGAGATAAATTAAAGAGATTTTGGACCAATTTTGTGACCAATGCTGGGACTTGCAAATTCGAGATCTCTAAGACAAACAATTTAACAAAGCTGTGTGGCCTGGAATTATTTTTATATTTTAAATATTCCAGCAGGGCTGTTACAAGATTTTCTAAATTTGATCCGCGAAATCGAATACACGACAAAAAAAACTGTTTTCATTGCCTAAAAATAGCATTTCAAGCTTATTGCTTGCTTATAGCATATTAGATTTTTGCCTGCTCTCAACTTAATATTCCAAAAATTACTTTCGTTTCGATCTCGAAACATCGAACAAAAATCAAAATTCAAACAATAAAATGTAATTCAATGGATCAACCGTATCCAAAACAAAAAACGTTACTTTAGTGACTTTCAGTCTAAAATAGTTACTTGTAAGTGACTAGCTTAAAAAAGTGACCAAGTCACTCAAAAGTGACCGACTTTCAAGCCATGCAATGAAACCTATAGGATTACTCAAATCGAATTGATTATGTTTTTGTGATATCAAGTTGTTAAGTACACTCGCAATAGAAACTATGTGAAAACTTTTTTCAGTGTAAGCCATATTACACAAATTTTCTAGATTTTCACCGGTGGTCAACTGATAATTGTTTAACAACTTTTGAAATTTATTTATGTACTTTGAATCCAAACGAAACAAGTAACGATTTTCAAGTCTCACAAGAACCTTGGACTGGCACACCCCCACAAGTTCTGAAAACACAACAATGTCATCGTTTGCACTTACCGATCCCTTCCGCCCGGGGAAGCTGAAGAACACATCCGGCCCGTTCCGGTGCGGCATCTGCTTGAGCACATTCAGCAGTTTGGCCGAATGCCGGGGCCACTTGCCGTTGATGGCCTTCATCGCGCCGAACAGCAGCTTCAGCTCTTTGACTGTGATACTGTAGCTGGCCAGCACCCCGAGCATCTCGATGAGCAAATCTGTAGAAGTGAGAGAAGAGACCAATTGTTACGCACTGAAATGCGGTTGGAGAGTCGGAGGAACCTACCGGCAACGATGGGCTCGGCCCGCTGCAGCCTCGCCAGGACATGTTCGATCAGGCCGATTTCGGTGCAGGCCTGCAGATTGCGGACGCTCTTCTTGAGGATGGCGATGAAGACGCTCCACACTTCGGCCTGTAGGTTGGCCGGGCAGTGGTCCAACAGTTCCAGCATGTGTTTCACGTTCTGGGCGTCCTGGACGACAAAGTTCAGCTCCATGTCGAACTCGCCGCCGACGAGCTGCAAGAGATAAGAGGGGGAGAGGGAGAAGATTTCCGGTTAGTGTTTTGTCGGATGCGAATCGGAAGGATGCTGCAAGTTGACTGCTGGCAAGTTCTTCGAAATGTGTCCGTTTGGCCCCGTGCCGCTGTCATTATTGTGATTGTTGCCGTGGCAGTATTAAGATGAGAAATGCTTAAAATAAATGAATGACACACTGTACAGGACGGGAGACGCTTCTCACGTTCCACAAATTGCACCGACAGCTTTGTCGTCTGACATAAAGTTGATGCGGGACAACAACAACAGGGAAGGAATAAGGGCCAGTGCCAGTGGATGGATTGGTGGCTGCCATGGTGTGCAGCGAGAAAATGGATTAAATTCCATTTTCCAAAGTGTTGGCGTTGGGCGGTGGACGATGGGATGCTCCATATCCGGGTCATTTCGGGTGACGCTCGTCGTGTAAATAAAGTTTGTTTATGTAATCATTTAGCTATTACTTCAAGGATGATTGTGTAATCGTTGGGCTGCTAGCTACCGACCGGAATATAATTTCGTCGTGAGAGAAGGGACGAGATCGCTCAATCCTGATTGGCTACATTTCCACTTGGTTTCATAGATTTAACGCAAATTTCAGGAGCTTTAGCGAATACCAAAACTTGTTACCGCTTGTAACATTTGTTCATGTACTTCTATATGTTGATCGTATCCTGCCTGCCTGTCTGTTTGAATTTGAATAATAATTGCCAATCCCATATCCCTAGGTTTAGTACAATACCAACTGCTGGTACGAACAGAAAAGCCGATAATTATCGAATGATAGGGACAAGATATCGCGAAGAGAAATAGGGAGGCGGTTCGATTGTGAACTTTTAGGTGAGTTAGGTCATATTCTTTGAAAAGTGGAAGTAAATGTGTTAGTTGGAAACTAAGTGATTAGAAGTGGAAGAAGTCGTTTTCCTGAGGATTCCCAAAACAGATTAGGTAAGAGTTGTGGAAATTCCGCGGCAATCCAAGCCATGTGGTAGGTAGGTCCCTTTGTTTCCTTGATAGGACCCGTTAGATTGCCGTTTTTTTATAATGCGTTTATTTTTCCAGGCTCATTTTCTGTAACTTTGCGGAGCCGAAATTCATTGTTTAAATCACAAAATTCGTTAGTGTATCGAAACAAATGGATGGCAGGGTAGGGATTGAGAACAGAAGGTTTGGAGAGCAATGTGCTCTTGATCTCGAACTAAGCGACATACTGATGAAAAAGACAAACTCAAGATGACACCAACTACTAAATCCTCAGATCTTCCCGTTTTAATCACTACAAGGGACAGCCCTATGGGGTTGTACGCAATGGTGAAGTTCGACTACGTGGTCTTATATAATAAATCTTATTTGTTAACTGCAGCAGGAGCTTGTTTTATGTGTAGGAATAGAAATTTGAGCGGGGTTCTCTCTGTTTATATTCTTTAGTATGACGCGCTTGATATAAATGGCCCACAGCGACTCACGAAGAGCTAATGATTCCGATCAATAGCGGTGCGGCTTATTCCTCCTTCTATGGATGCTCTTGTTGGGTACTGGAGAACGCCACCACTCACCACGCGGTGATTTAATAAACCGGATGGAATTCAACTTTGAAATCTGTGTTAGGGAAATCGCTTTTCGCATGCAGTCGGTGAAAATTTTAATTATCATAGCAACAGTTGCACATTCATGCAATTTTCAATAGTGACATTTTGAAAAATGATAAAGTCTACATTTTAAAATATTCGTGGACAAAATTCCTATCGATTGGCGAAATAAGAATTAAAATCCATCATCTCTGGATCAAAATCAGACCATTGAAATTGCACCCCCAATGTTGCCTTCAAGAACATGCTATGTTAGATTTAAACAAATCTAGATAGAGCTGGAATTAGGCGTAACAGTTTTTGTAAACAATGACTTCTTTCGATGATTTTTAAGAATTCAACACGCCCACGCAAACCAACATTACCGTCGGGTAGTGGAAGTCTTACCCTACCTGATGGTGATGTTTATTTGCGAGGGCAAGCCTTGATTTTCAAGACATCATCGAAAGAAGTCATTGTTTACAAAAGCTGTTACGCCCAACTTCCAGCTCTTGAGAACTGACATCCGATTGATGACCTTGACAAATGTCCAAAAACCTACTCTTGTACAAATTTATGGTGGTCCTGAAAAGGATCGTTTACTCGTGATGGTTGAGTAATGCTGAGCTATTAGGGCGTTAAACACAGATGAGGCTGGTGAGCTGTGTGTTGTTTGAAATGAGGGTCACGCGCTTGGCATAGATGGCTCACAGCGACTCACGAAGAGCTACTGATTCCGATCAATAGCGGTGCGGCTTCTTCCTCCTTCTATGGATGCGCATGTGCACTGCAGCTCTCTGCTTGCAGGCAGCCTTTCGTTGTGTACTGGAGAACAGTGTTCAACGCCACGCACCGAAAGCACTGCTGCTGCTGATGCCGACGACCGGACCACACACGGTGATTGGAACTGAATCCGATCTAGCTGCTTGCGGGGAGCCTTTCGTTGTGTACTGGAGAACACCACCACCCACCACGCGGTGATTGAATAAACACCGTTTAGTGAGACCGGATGGAATTCAACTTTGAAATCTGTGTTAGGGAAATCGCTTTTCGTAGCAACAGTTGCGCAATTATCATAGCAACAGTTGCACATTCGTGCAATTTTCAATACTGACATTTTGAAAAATGATAAAGCCTTTAATTTAACAGATGCGTAGAAATATTTCTGATCGATTGGTGATAAAATGATGGAATTTGCTCCTAGGGCAGCTGAGTTAGTAACGTTCAAAATCTTACATAATTTTGTTACATGTTCCATTTTCGGTTTTCACAAAGTGTACCCCCATATAGAAATCACAGACGTAGTCCTACGTCAAAACACATAAATTAAATTCAAGTAGTCGAGATATCCAAGACATCTCTAACGGGTATCGCGGGTTATTTTCCTCGGACCCTGAGGAATGTGGATAACTCAGTCGCGGCTCATGTCCAACCCTTTGAACCATAGTTTATTCGACACCTGTGGGGGAGCAGAATCGATCCGTTGCAGCTTAAGGATGTGCGTTTTCGCTGCGCATTGGAAGCAAAAGCTGCCGTACTCTAAAACCGAAAGGATGGTTGTCCGGTACAACCTGATCAGATCTTCCGGGTGGGCTCCCCACCAAGTTCCGGTAATTGTTCGAAGAAAATTAATCCTTTGCTGGAATTTTTGTTTCAGATAGTGGAAATGGCTCTAATGTTGGCCTATGAATCTAAGATTGGGCCCATCGCTAAAAATCTGCTATTTATCAATTTTATCAAGATTAACGCGTCATTGGGACGGTACTTATGGATATTTTTGATCGCTATTGAAAATTTAGTCGATTGCTGAATTTATGTATCGGCCCAAATTAAGGACATTTAGGCCGACATCACATCCATTTCCCCTATAACACCCTACACTTTTCGGATGTTCATATAATTTTTATTGCGTTCCAGAAATTCTTTCGGAGTTTTGCTGAAAATTCCGGAAATGTCCTGAGCTTCTCGAAACTTCTTGAAAGTTTCATGAAAATATTTGAACTGCACTTTGATTCTCTGATCTGTCTTGATGTTGTCGGAGCTTCCCTGAAGCTCTCAACTCTATCGGAAATATCGGTTCTGCTCTGCCAGGCAAGAACTCAAAGCTCGATCGGCGCCACAGGACTTCGGAAACAGACGCATACCATCCAACAGTCGTTTCATTGTGTTCCGCGAAAGAAAGGAGTGTCGCCATCATTTCGCGGAGGATAATTGGAACATCGCCATCGCTAGTGGTGTCAAAGGACATCAAAGGATCCATTGTCAACGAGTTTGCGCGTCGCTTGGGTAAGCGCCATAGAACTCTGGACACTGACTGTGGACTTCTGGATTTCCGCTGGACATGTTGGAACAACTTACGATGTGGACTGGACACTAACCCGGATCAGATTCCCTGATTTGGCTACCGAGATTTTCGAACATTCGATTTGATTCGGCTGGAGAAAATCGATGACCTGTGGGAGAGGTATGGTGCAACTCTAGTGGAAATCCAATTCCACGACGATTTCGAAGAGCAAGATGAAGGTGATCCACTCGAGAGCGGTAGTACACTTGATAAGTAGAGACAAGAGTTTAGTTACCGTTACTATGAGGTTAAGTCAATTTTAACAGATCAGTTTAAGGAAAGGCAGGAACCAGCTAGTTTGAATCAATCCATCCGCGGCGATCTTCCAGTGTCAGCCACGCTTGATCGTGTCAAGCTACCGCAGATTAAGCTGCAAACCTTCAACGGAGAGATAGAAGACTGGTTAAGTTTTCGGGATCTGTTCACTTCGTTGATAATCCATTGGAAGACAGATCTGCCCGACGTGGAAAAGTTTCATTACTTAAACTGTTGTCTACAGTTCCCTTGTAACTTTAATCGATTCTCTCCAGATCACAGCTGCAAACTACCAGGTCGCATGGTGAATGTTGATCAATCGGTACAACAATAGCAAGCTATTGAAGAAGCGGCAAATTCAATCTCTCCTCAAGTTACCCGGCCTCACCAAGGAATCCGCCTTTGAACTGCACGCTTTAGTCGAAGGTTTCGAGAAGGTCGTGCAAACTTTGGACCAGATCGTACAACCGGTCGACTACAAGGACCTCCTACTAGTGAATCTGTTGACGTCTCGCTTAGATCCATCCACTCGTCGCAGCTGCGAAGAGTTCTCTTCGACTAAAGATCGGGATACACTGAAGGAACTCACAGAATTTCTCCAACGACGAGTTCGTATTCTGGAATCCTTACCTTCCAAGGCTGCAACCTCCATCTAGGCAGAAGGGCTCTGCAGTGAAGACTAGTTTCAATTCCGTCCAAGCGTCCGGAGGGCGCTGCCTAGCCTGTACTGGGAGCCATCCTTTGTTCTAGTGTGGTACTTTTCAACGACGTGTCAATGACGGATAAAGATTCGTTGCTACGGTCGCATTCGTTGTGCA